GAGAAAGAAAGAGAGAGAGGGATAGAGAGAAAGAAAGAAAGAGAGCGAGACAGAGAGTGAGTGAGAGAGAGAAAGAGAGAGTGAGAGAGAGAGAGTAATTCTTAAATTTATATGCGCTTTATAACCATTAAACCAAAAATGGGTAGCCGAAAAAGGTAGAGCAAACGAACCGTAGGTATAACGGGACCAGGATGTGGGCGTGCACCTGTATTTATTTATGCTAATTGGTATGGCGGCGGAGGCGGGGGAATTTTGACAAGAGCCTTGCTTTGAGATGTTAAACAACCATACCAAAATGTTTGGTATGGTTACAGAAATGTTTGAAACACATTTTCTAAGCATTCTGTAGAAGTTCGGAAAATCGGGAGTTATCAATCGATAATTTATCAATATCAAATCTGATACTTTTAAAAAAATAGCTAATTTTTAAAAATTTTTGCAAAGTTTTGCGGGTGTTTAATTTTTTTGATTGTTTCAACTTTCAAAAGTCACCTTCCAAAAATTTTTTGATGATTGTTTTGTTGTTTTCTCGTTAATGCTTTGAGTTTTTGGAAAAAATTTTGGGGCCCGCGAAATTTTTTTCTGGCTAAGCCCCTTTCCATATTTAGCGATACTTTCATAGCGGTAATTTGCATATAGAAATAAAATAAAAGTTATAGAAAAAGCAATCCAAATAAAGCCCCCATTCGCTTCTTAAAACAAAGTTTATTTAAAATTTTATTTTATTAAAATTTATTAAAGATTTTTAGAAGCAATTGATGCCCTGAGCTAAGGTCATTAAAATTTTCGTGAATCTTAATTGTATAGCTAAAATTGAAACACACAAGGTGAATTTAGCTAAAAAATGCTCTTTTTAACCGGCAGGTTTTAACGGGGAGCGTAGAAAAACATTGAGCGGCGCGGGATAGGGTGTTGGAAATGAGCTCCTTCGCCCCCCCCCCCCCACTCAGCCTCCCCAGCCCATTTAGAAGTGAGCAGCAGCTAGGAGCTTCAGCTCTGGTTACGACACGGCAGATTACTATCTACACCCGACTGCCCATCCCCTCCCCCCACCCCCTCACACACCCTATTTTGCGCCCAGTTCCGCGCGACAACTATGCACACCGCCCCCCGGGCAGGCAGGCTGGCAGAGAGCTTTGCGGAAGTTGGGAAAACTAGAAAATATCAATAAATTAAAAGGTTCTTTAGCATTCCCGGGGGGGGGGAACCAATTTTTTCCTGATAAAGTGTTTTCGAATTTTTTTTCGTAAGTTTTAACTATATTTCAAGCAGAATAACTTTCAGAAAAATTTAGACAAATGTTTAAAAAAGTCGAAAATTTGGTCATTTTGGGTCTCCCCCCCGCGAATCCTAAAGGTTCTATAGGATTTTTCGACCTAATTTTTATTTTTTAATTTTTCTTTGGTTAAAATGTGTGTAGTTTTTATACTCAGGAATAGTTAAAAACAATTTAGAAACGCATCCGCAATTTATAAAAAAATCTAGGCTTGTGCCGAAAAAAATTTAGTTCCCCCCCGGGGATCCTAAAGAACCAATTAAAAAATCATTTTTGAATTGAAAAATAATTTTCTTTATTTTTGTCATGCTATTTTCTTATTTTCTAAGAAGTCTAGGCAAAATTTATCAAAAGACCCAGGAAGAAGCCCTAAAAGTGTGTTTCTCACCTTGTTAAAACCCAGAAATTTTTTTGCGGCTCTGTCCTCCCAGTTCCGCGCGACAACTATGCACACTCCCCGGGCGAGGAGGCTGGCAGAGAGCATTGCGGAATGTTCGAAACCCCTGGACAACTCTGTTAAAAGTGCGTTTCTCGCCTGGCTAAAAGCCAGTAAAGTTTTCCACATTGCGGAAAAATGAGTCTAGTTGTCAATTAATTAATTAAATGTTTAGTTATATAAATTCATAAATCAAAAAATGTTCTAACCTCCGCGATCGAACGCAGAATTTGTTCCTTTTCGAACTGTGGAAATTTCGAATTTGTAAAGTTCGAGCAGCCCCATAGATCATTCTCTAAAGGTATGGTCACGGAATTTGCCCCGTGTACCTTAAAGTATCAGAAAAGACAGAGCAAGCGCCAATACAGTTTTCTTAGAAACATAATGGACCGAATTTTGTGAAACATCCATTTTAACTGAAACCAGGGTTGAAAAGCCGCTTCGCGACTTTTCAACCCTGGCCTCTCTGCGGGGCCCTTTGATACACGGGCACTGCACATTATAATTTGCATTAATATTACGAATTACGTTAGGGAAAGGCACCACAGGAATTACGTGAGCAACCGACTCGGAACCCCGCAAAGCCCAGAATGAGCCGAATTAATAGCGGTATGCAAATTAGTCTATTTCCATATGTTTTTAAATCGCTAAAATAAGGTATAAAACGTCATTTTAGTAAAAATCTGATATGCGGGCAGTAATCTACGCCCTCGATTACCCCTAAACACTTGACTTCTGAACCATAAAATCCTCTTCCCTTCGAGTTATGGCTGGAACCCGGGATTTTATGCAAAGTGTCCACACACACACAGAAACTATTTTTTTATATATAGTAGGATGGATTGCCATTCCAACCTTGTAGCATCCGTGAAAAAATCATACAACCGCTCAAACGTGATTTTTCAAAAGAAAAAGTTTAGTTATTTAATGACTTTCTAAAACAAATGGCAAATATGCAAGTAATTATAACCCGGTAAAAATAAGAAGTTTCACAAAACGAGAGAATTTCTTCCAAAGGTGACCAGGCAATGCGAGCACGTACTTGATGACATTCTAAATCTAGAATTTCGGACTTTTTTGGCTTTCTCATCAAAAGCATATATTGAGACTTCCACGGCCCTTTAGAAAATAGACGGGATTCGATGTCTTGTAAATTTAAAAAAACATATGTTTTGCAAACGCCTCAAAAGTTCTGTCAATTTAGTAACTTAATGTTCCAGTGGTTTGATCGCGAATTTATTGGACCATGGAAGTGTTCAAGAGGTGCACTTTTTGACCAAAATCTAATTTTAAGCAAAGCTGAATTAGATGTCGTAATGCTCCCTCCATAAGGTTGAACGCTTTTCGGATTCCTTTTTGAAATTTGAAATTTGAAATTTGAAATTTGAAAATTTAGAAGCCTAAACTGTCTTCAAAATCCTTCTTTGAAGTCAAAACCGGAAGTGGCAGAATCGAAACAGAATTCGTATAGAAGGTTTTTACACCGCCACATCACCGATAATTGATCAATTACAGTTTCGATTTATTAATTCGCATTTTCGAAACACGCTATTTAAAAAAGGCGGAATTTTTATACTCGGCTCCTAGGCTCTTCGCGCGGTCTCTGCTTACGTAATTGTTGAAAGCCATTCTTGTTGTAAAAATTGGAAGTTAAAAATCCCTTACAAAAACGAATTTTTTTAATATTTGGAGCCGGTTGGCTCACGTAATTTGTCGCACCCAATTTCTCGAAAAAATGGAAAATATTTTGGGGACCAGTTATTGGAGTAATTGATTATTGTGCTTCGTCTTTCTTACCACAATCTTTGGAAACATTTATGATCAAAAAGGAAGTAGAGTATTTCGCGTTGCGGTCGTATCTGGCTATTTGCCAGGAATCCTCGCTGAGGGGGGGTGAGCCAGACTTCTAAGTCTCTTTAAAGGGCACGTTCAGGCACGTTTTTTTGGGAAAAAAGCAAAGGTTTTTGCCGCGGCCGGGGGTCGAACCCGGGTCCCCCATTCGGGAGGCGCGGATGTATACCAGTCAGCCACAGCTACAACCTGGCGAGGGGGTGAGGGGCGCCCGACGTCGCAAGGGAGGGGAACGGCCTGTCACAGCACGGGCAGGCAGTGCGCGCGGTCCCTACGTCCATAGGGTGTATACGTTGGGCAGAGTATACGGCCCCTCCCTGAACGTGCGCTTTAACGCATTTATTCGGAAAGCATTAAAACATTAAACTCCGGAAATTAGTCATTTTGGCCCCGGTAAAAAAAAGATGTTTTTCCAAAATTACTGAATCGTCACAACAGCGCACGACGCAATTTGATAAAGACGTGTCCGATTACCCTAAAATCCCGAGTATAGTTCCGGGTGAAACGTACGTAGCGTTCGTAATTGCGTATGACCGTAAAGAGGTGTGTTTCGTTTTTCGGCTTCTCGCAAATAACTTCGTTCGTGAAAGGTATTTTGCCATTTTGGTTGAAGATTTGCTCGCATGTGGACTTTTCCAGCATTTTGAGTGGTTTAATGAAAGAAATTGATGCAGGAAGTCCTAAGAACCGCTTCCTTTCGCTTACATAGCTTTTGCAGCGAAAGGCCGGGGGCGCACGTAATTAGACCGTCATTTGTATTGGTACGTCGCCAAAGTGTACCGGAACTATACTCGGGATTTTAGGGTAATCAATCTTCTCGGTCCCACAACACAATTTTTTCATTTTTCTGATTTTCTCACTGTATACATACGGAATTAAATGTTTCTGATTTTCGCAGTAGAATATGTTCTGGATTATATAGCAAAATCGGGCTCCTGGCAAAACGTAGAAATTCATAATGTGCAAAATAGTAATGTCAAAATTCATCATGTGGAAATCCATGATGTCGAAATTTACATAAGCGAATTTTCGAAAAACTCCCCGAATGCTACGCAAACGAATTCGACAATATGAATTTCGACATTATAATAGCAAGTCAGTAGGATCTTTCCATTTGTGAATTAGTCCAGGTAATAATTCGATTTCAACGACCTTCTTAAAAAGCATTTATTCGCACACAGAAATCAGAAAACAGGCATCCTCAAGGCATCACGCATCACATAAAAAGGGGCGGGGCTTCGCGGGGGAAAAGGGGCGTGGCCAAACTCGTTTAAAGGGAGAGTGACAGGCGAAGGAGGTGGGTGAATCATTTATTAAATGGTGGGGGGGCGACAACGAATTGAATGTTTTTAGATGACCGTTTTTAGCACTTTAGCGTAGTGTCTCGGCGTGGAGGTATATTTAACTGTGGGGGTAGGAGGCATCGTCGCGAATTCAGACCCGTGGCTCGACGGGGATCAGCTTCGCCGCATCCAGGCCCTTTCGCATCTCCTCCGCTGTGTTTTTCCAGTCCTAAAACGAAGAATATTTCGCTGAAACTGGCACTTTTGCATTATCGGGGGGGTAGGGGTATCAGGAAACCTAATTTATTTTGTAGAGACCCAGAGATGCCGGATCTGGCCGCTAACAGCTCAGTACTAATTACGAATGACGAAACGAGAACAATGTTTAATTAGCTTATAGAGGCAAGTCATTTTGACTAATATCTTATACCAGTGGAAAAAGACCGCTTCGCGGCCCTTTTCCACTGGACCCCGTCCAGGAACCATGAATCGGAACACCTTCCTTTTTTAGCCTGCGGCGCAAGTACGTTGATCAAGGAGCCATTCTTTGGCCTGCGGCGCTAGAGCCAGAGCCAGGCCTAAACCTCGCGCTAGAAACTTTTTGCCTGCGGCGCTAGTTACTGGTTGTTCTCGAGGATCTGGCCTGCGGCGCAAGAGCCTGGATCAAGGACCCATCCTAGGCCTGCGGGGCGAGAGCCTGCGTCAAGGACCTTTTCTTCGGTCTGCGGCGCTAGATCGAGGGTCATGGCCTAAATCTCGCATAGCGAGAGCTTAGAAAGATGTTTTGCTGCTAAACTACCAAAAAGCAAAAAGCCAGATTCGCCCAGGATCCGAGCCTATGTCCTTCCGCGTGGTAGCCCGGGAGCTAACCCAATACACCAAGAGGCACATGGGGACAGGGGGCGGGAAAGGCCTCTTCCGTTCTGGGGAGGGGCGCGGAGGCAATGAAGGGGCCGAGCCAATGCCCCGGGCGGGAGGCCTTCTGGTCACTTTACAAAATTCCATTTTTGAGTCTCAATCCGCCGAAAATTTGTAAAGATAATAAGATGCGCATGATCCCCACTATCGAATACATAAGTGTTCCAAATTACAGACCGAAATTCCATCTGGGCGTCGAGTTATGGCCCGAACACCACGGCTCTTGGCCGATTTTGTTAAGGACTTTTTAGAAAAATGCTCATAAAAACTTTATTTTACAAAAACAGACAAAACGCAAAATTATATATCGGGAGAATTCGATTTTCAATCTACCCACCAAAAATTAGAGCCCGATTCGGTCTGGTAATCGAGATATATTCTGAACAAACCTTTGTTCGGCCAAAATGTTAAGGATTTTTCACTATTTTCCTTGTAAAATCGTTAAATGAAGGAATTTCGAGAAACAAAAAATTGCTTCACTGACAAATGTGTTTCTCCACCTACATGCCAAAAATCAGCCGGAAATTCGGCCTGGCGGCCGAGAAATCGGCTGAACAGAAAACAAACATACTTTTCTCGCTTATAGGATAGGACCAGGGTTGAAAAGCCGCTTCGCGGAAAAGTCGTTAAAATCCATAAATTGTGATTTTTGTAAAAAACCCTTTTCTCCGAAAAGCATCAGAAATGCAGCCCTTTTCGCGAAAATATTAGTAAAAGTAAGAAAAAATCCAGAATTTCAAAATTTCGAAAGTCGTGCTGGACTCGCCTTGTCGAGAGCTCTCGCTAGACACCAAAATCGTAAAAATCGAGCACGTCTCCGGCCCGCTAGGCAGGGGGAGATTTTTTGGGACACCCTGTATTTTTTTAGATATAGTTAGATAGATAGGAATTGCAATTCAATTCAACAACATCACGGTATTAAAGTTGTTACAGTACGACCCGGCCTCCTTACATTTGTCCAGGTGGTGTAGTAGGCGATACGGTAGCACAGGGCCCATCCGTACGTCCAGTGGAGACGATTGCTGAACGCACCCGGGCGCATCCTGCAAGACAGCGGCTTCCTTGGTTGGTTGGTTCTTGCGCAATAGCGGGGGGGGGGAGAGAATTTTTTTGCTTACGAACCAGTTTTCAAATATTAATAGCCGAAGATTTGCTATCATAATGCCGCTTTCCAAAATGCCGCCTTTCAATATATCGCTTTTGGCCAGATTGCGGAATCCGGTCCCTAAACGGATTTCGGATTTCGATATGTCAAAATGCTCAGCAGGTCGAGCTGATTCAGGATCAGTTGAAAAAACTTGGCGGAAAAATCGATATCACTAGATATGACACTTCAAAGTTGCGTTTGAGCCCGTTTCCCGTTTGAGCATGATATGGCCGTTTTCGCCCGGAGGTCATTTTTTCATGCTACTAGAGATGAACAAATGCTCGATAAAAGCTTAGCTTTGCCCTCTTACACCCAGTTTGAGCCTAAAAATAAGGCTTCGTTCCATCCGAAGCGACGGCCCGTCTTGCCTGACAATGTTTTTCACCCCAAGAAACGGTAATTCTATACCATTCCGTTACTTTCCGATGTAAATTTGGCGTATAGAGGTGTATTGCGTACTACGTGTCGGACGGTTTTGAGACCTTGTAAGCTAGATATCTCGTGATAGCGATTTTTCCGCCAAGTTTTTTTAACTGATCCTGGATCAGCCCAATTTACCGAGCATTTTGACATAACAAACTCCGACTTCGTTTAGTGACCGGATACTTCAGTAGCTAACTTTGAAGTGTCATATCTCGAGATAGAAGTGTTGCCGCAAAGTTTTTTGAACTGATCCTGAACCAGCTCGACCTGCTGAGCATTTTGACATACAAAAATCCAAAATCCGTTTAGTGACCGGACCGCAATTTTCCCTCGCTGTTCAGAATGCCGCTCTATCAGAATACCGCTTTTTACAGAATACTGGAATAGGAGTTATCAAACAGTAAAAATTTTTTAAATAGCATATTTTTTGTCGACAGAGAATGGTTTGTAACTATACAATAACTTTACACATACTGTATACCTCTGGACAATAACTTCCAAATGTTGATCATGATCTTAGGTTCTTAGTTTTCAAGATCGAACTTTTTCAGGGCAAATGGCAAACACTTCGGATAGTTAATCAAAAGGGCAACCGAGGCCCATAGGAAAATCATTTTTCCCAAATAAAAGAAGAAAATAAAAGAAGAAAGCGAAAGCTAAAAAATTGTGTGTTTCTGCTAGTTATAGAGAGAGAGGCGTCACTTTGACCATCGGTTTTATTCACATACATTCGCAGAATTTACAATTCGCCATCCAGCGCTTATTTTAAAAATTACAAAAAAAAACCCGATTAACCCACTTTGCAATGGAGCGCATCGTGGTGGGCGGATCGTATTTTGTCTTGGTCTCACAATCACGGGCCAAGCACATACCCAGGCAGATTATCGCCGTCCTAAAATCAGAGGAATTTATGCCGATTAGAGCAATCAGGGAGCGGGGCTATTAGCGGGGGGAGCTATCCGCCCATACAGCCCAGCAAAAATTTAAAAAATTTGGCTCAAAAGTTGGATTTTTCTTCTAAATAATTAATTTTAGAAACTTTCGATTAAATGGATTTTTGACGCAAATAAAATGTTTCGAAAAATCTACGTACGTACGTTCTATGGTTCAGGACGGCGTATTTTTAGGTAGTTGAAGCTACATAAGAGTTATCCGACGCAGCGATATAACACTCCCCCCCCGCTAACAGGAAAGTTCCACCAAATCTATCGTCAAAAAATTTCGTTGTTTCCTGCGGTCGCTCTAAAATCCCGAACCTGCCGAGCGCTTCGTAGCCCTGGAGGAGAATGGGCGGGAAGTAGCCGTCCGTCACTTTGCGACAAATCTGGAAAAATCTTTTTTCTAGCTGTCCCTCTCCCACACTCGCTTACTCTCTCTCTCTCTCTCTCTCTCTCTCTCTCTCTCTCTCTCTCTCTCTCTCTCTGTCCTCTCTCACTCTCTATCTCTATCTCTCTCCCTCTCCCACACTCTCTCGATCTCTCTGGCTCTCTCACTCTTTCACTCTCTCTCTCTCTCTCTCGCTCTCTCTCTCTCTCCCTACCCCCCCGCTCTCTCTCTCTCTCTATCTCTCTCTGTCTCTCTCCCTCTCTCTCTGTCCTCTCTCACTCTCTATCTCTATCCCTCTCCCACTCTCTCTCTCGATCTCTCTCGCTCACTCACTCTCGCAATCTCGCTCTCTCCCTCCCTTTCTCTCTCTCTGTCTCTCTCTCCCTCTCTCTCTCCTCACTCTCTCACTCTCTCACTCCCCCTCTATCTCCTACCCCCCTCTCTCTCTCTCTCTCTCTCTCTCTCTCTCTCTCTCTCTCTCTCTATCTCTATCTCTCCCCTCTCTCTCTCACCTGCTGTGTGCGATTATGCAGTTCCATGACGAGATGGAAAACATTTTCCCCATCCATCCACTTCTCCGGCGCCCACTTCTCGAAGTGGAGCAGCGTCACCTGGAAGGAAACGTATTTTTCCGTATATTTAACGTATTTTCGTGGTACTATTCCCGTACCGGGCGCTCTTCCGTGTCGCCACCGCCTTCCTCGCCGCCTTTCTGAAAAATAGAGGTAAAATGGCGTAGTGCGCGACGCTACCTTGTCCTCATCGGGCGGACCGACGACGGTCAACTCGTAGATGGTGAACCCCTTCTTCCGGTCGCCCCCCTTCTTCTTGCACTTCACCACGAAGCGGCCGTTCTGAAAAAAACGAGGTACTTTTCTGTTAACGGAGGGGAGCAAATAGTTTTTAGATGCTAAAAGTACATCAAGATACGCACATCATAAGAAATGCTCTTGTCCTCGCTGCGTGGCCAATATGGCCAGCATTTGCTCGACGCCTCCTCGCCGATCAGATTCTCCTGCGATACCGAGCACACTAGACGCGTCTGGTCCTGAAAAAGTGGCTTTTAAAGGGACTGACATAAACCAGAATCGACCCCTTCCGTCGACTAGGCCTCGACAGCTACGCGCTAGTTCACACCCCGAGCCGAGCCAGAAAAGCAAAGCCCGAAAAGCACTCGATACCTGCCAAACGGTCCTCCACAGATCGAGTGCCGTCTTCTCGTTGAGCGGCGCCTGGATGAACTCGTAGTCTCGCATCTGCTGGTCGACGATCGACCCGGGCACGTACTCATACTGGTCCTTCTCTGCCGCCGTGTTTTTCAGCTGAAAAGGGGAACATAAAGCAGCGCAAAAATATAAGAAACATGTCACAGTGTTTGTCGCAACCCAGAAAGAGCTGCTTTCCAAAATTTACGAGGCTTCCATAGGGAAGGACTCGGGCTTGATACGAACCTCAACCTTGTTGGATCTAGTCCAAACCCACATTTGAGGCACGGCATATCTGCCTGGACAGTGGGCCAGGTGGACAACTCTTGCCAAGAGTATGCATTACCACGAGCCGGTGCCTAACTTTTGTAGCGAATTTCCCCTTTGTGCTACGGGATTGGAAAGTACACCAAAATATCCGCTGTCGTCTAACTGGTACGAGTATATCACATATGGACTTCGGGGTAAGTAGTTACACATGGCAAATTCCAGGTCCTCTAAAGTTTCCGGCGGTGTTTCCTCGATATTGTTGCAGCCCGAAAGGCAGCGTTCCAAAATTTACGAGAACTCCGTTTCGAAGAACTCGGGTTTGACACAAACCTCAAAATTGTGGGATCAAGTCCAAACCCATATTTGAGGCACGGCATATCTCACCGGACAGTGGGCCAGGTGCGCAACCCTTACTGCGCTGGCCGGATTACCACCCCCAGTTTCCATCAAGCCGATACCTTCATCTGTTTGTTGTCCTTGACGAAGACGGGGCTTCTGTACTTGGCGATGTTGGCGACGACTGTGTCGTGGTTCAGCTTGGCGGCCGAGATCAGCTCCTGGTGGGCCTTCTGCTTCTTCTCGGCGGACATCTTGCCGAATTTCAGCTGGAACTCGTTCAGCCCGCCGACTGGGCCCTGAAAGAGAGATACGTAGACAGAGAGAGAGAGAGAGAGGGAGAGAGAGAGAGGGAGAGAGAGCGCGCGAGAGAGAGAGGGAGACGTACCTCACGAGGCCTGGAGCGTCCCTTCGATTTCGACTTGGAGAGCGACCTGCGCACTCCGCCCGACGGCGTCGGCGTCGTAGACATTTCGAGGCTCGAGTGGACCGAAAGACGAGCTTCAGAATTTAGAAATGATTGATTTTTTGTGGACTGGCCAGCCGAAGATACTAAGCGCATGTAAATATCAGAAAAAATATCTTATTTAAATTTAATTATGCAAATAAGTACGGACTGTTAGCGCGGGGGAGCGCTTGTGGGGTAACTAATCTGTTTTCTTGAACAAAACTAATTCTTTAAAAAATCGGAAACACTGAAAAATTGGGTCCTTTTGAGTAGATTTTATACCCATTACACAAGAATTCAAACATTTCTAAATTTTTTGTGTGCCACCTATATCTAAAAACGGTAAAATGCCAGAAAGAGGTTTTTTCTATCAGAGATTGCGTGATTATTTGGAAAGAAATGTTTTTCACCCCCGCTAAAAGGCCAGAACCTGGAGATTCGTAAACTGCAATAACTCCATTTGATGTTCTCAATACTGAACTCTAATCCAAATTATTCTTTTCCGTTTGTGTAAAGGAAAACAATGGCCTGAAACGCATTTTAACTCTCAAAAAAGATATTAGCTTAGGCCTAAAAAGCATGTTTCAGCAAATCTTTTTACAATCGTAGGAAGTTTCGAACAATTCGAAGCTTATACCCAACCAGGGGCGTAGCCAGAAAAAAATTTCGGTGGGCCCCCGAAAACTTCTTTCCGAAAAATCAAAAAATTAACGAGAAAACAGCGCCGCAGGCGAAAAGTTTTGGTAAAAAAAGGCTACATAGCTCTACACAAATAGCAGTAAAAACGTGTAAAAATAGCGCCGCAGGCAGCAAAATTTTTGAGAAAATAAAAATCATAAGGGTCCCCCTTATGAAATTTTCGGGCCCCGGCCGATTTCGGGGGGGCAGGGGTCCCACCTTACGCTACGTCCCTGTACCCAACCAGTGGAAAAAGACCGCTTCGCGGCCCTTTTCCTCTGGACCCCGTCCCGGAACCATCAGTTTGAATACCTGCTTTTTTTTGCCTGCGGCGCAAGAACCTAAGTCAAAGAGCCATTCTTTGGCCTGCGGCGCTAGAGCCCGGACCAGGCCGAAATCTCGCACACCGAGAGCCTAGAAATATGTTTTGTTGCCGAACCACTAAAAAGCAAAGAGTTAATTTCGCCCAGGATCCGAACAGTTCCCGGGAGGGTGGCCTTCTGGTCTTTACAAAATTCCATTTTTTTAGTCTGAACACGCTGAAAGTTTGTAAAGATAATAAGATGCGCGTGATCCCCACCATCGAATACATAAGTGGCCCAAATTCCAGCCCGAAATTCCAAATAGGTATCGAGTTATGGCCTGAACACCACGGCTCGTCGCCCATTTTGTTAAGGATTTTCACCAATTTGTTTGGAAAATCGTTAAATAAAGGAATTTCGCAAAACAAAGAAATTCGTCTTTGACAAATGTGTTTCGCTACCTCCATGCCAAAATTCAGCTGGAAATTCGGCCTACGGCCGAGAAATCGGCTGCACAGAAAACACACATACTTTTCTCGCTTATGGGTTAGGATTCAAAACGTGCCAAAGCCACGGTACCACAATCTCTATCTTTGTTATTTAGTTTAAACTAAATTTTGTGCATATAATGGAGAATTTAGTTTAAAATGCGAGGCGTTTATTAAGCTCTTAACAAAGCTATCAAAACTCAAAAGTTTATCCAGCCGTTATTAAGGCAATCTTGGTATAGGATTTATGATAGGTATCGCGAGTCTGTAAATTTTTGAGCTCTGATCAAGCTTGCGTTTCAGAACATCGACTGTGTGCGTAACGTCTACGTAGCGCGCGTCTAAAACCCCTCTCATTCGACAACATCGAACCGAACAGATTATTTCCGGTTCGGTTTGTTTTTAATTCATGCTAAAGCGGACCCCATTACAGCGCATTATTCGAAATGGACTACTTTTTTCCTTAAAACATCATTTTTTCCGACTCTCGGTTTCACTTTTATTTTTCGCCTATCCACTAGGTGCCCACTACAGCAAATAATCCGAAACAATTCAGCTTTTTCGTTGAAACATCATTTTCCAGCATTGAATCTCGCCATTCGATGGAAAATTGGTGTTATGTGTTTCGGACAAAGCCCAGGTTGAATTGATATTTTATTAATTTAATGCGTGCTTGGAATTCAATGTAGTTTGGCATTTTCAGCAACATTTCTCCATTACTGCAAATTTGCGATACTTTTGATGCCGATTTTCATGTTTTGATTTGCAGATCTTCGATACGTTGTCCTCCGCCCATTAGTTTGCAAGATCGACAACGATTGTATTTTTTCGATAAAAC